AACAACAAAGTGGAGGTTGTCATTGTATTCATTTCGTCATTCATCAATGTGAATCAACTGAGAAACGGGATATAATTTTTATGGCTGTCAGCTCAGTGGTGAACTCGAAGCATAACAGGCATTTGTTAAATTACATTGTGTGTATCGTCCTGACTCCATCCTCTTTTTTAACATTGCCCTTACGTGTTGTAAGCACAGGTTAATGTGAACCATACCTGAATGGTCACGGGGTTTCGAGTGATGGACTCTGTCCTGTTTCAGTATTTACGTGATTCCTCCCCCCATCTCACGTGATCTATGACAGATTTGTTATGCTTTGTCTCTCTTTGGTCTTTCACACTCAGATACCACTCCGACACAGCAAAACGTAGAACACCGCCATAGTTTTGTTCCATGTGACCCGAACGCGTTAATTGAGTCAGGTACAACTGGATCTGTGTTGTCTTCCGAACAAGCGGTTGATGTAGAAATGAAATCAGTGACTCACGGGACCCCGTTCTCGTCCAACCGAACCGGTGCGTATCCCTCTTATTCGGACGCGCCGAATTCGATTTCCTCCAGTCAAAATCCGGTGAGTTTCATGCCCTGTCCACCAAATACATCTATCGTTGGCGTCGTCCGCCGTGCGCCAGCTGACATCCTGCGACTGTTGGTTGTCATGGTTGCCAAATTTGTATTACTTTCGTTACGGTCGAATCGCACAACCACTATAGTATTCACGATAGCCTTAATTTTAGCCACCTATCTAACTTGACGGTGAGAAAGAAAACTCATCCTAGTCCTTGTTCACCCCACTCCGGGAAGAATATGTGTCGCAGTCCGCTTTGTTTTTACTTCCTCAAAGTGAGGGATCGAATGATGCCTTCTGACTGAATTCACATTCACATGCAACTTCTATGCCATTTTGTTGTTGTTGTTGTTGTTGTTGTTCAGGTCGCTTAACAGTTTGTGCGCTGAGTTTGCCGCCCAAAACCGGAGCTAGCAAACGCGTCGGTGAAAAAGACACCGTAGTATACCGTCGCTTTTCGGGTCAGAAAAAGTAGTAGATAATCAATGGTTGAGTGAGTGAGTTACACTTTGAAGGGTTTGCCGGATGTCCTCGGCATTGGTGTCCGTGCTATACCAACCCGGAAAACTTCAACCGCGAACCCTAAAGTGCTCGTATAACTTTTAAGTAAACAACTGAGGAAGAGAAAAGTGAGTAAACTTTTATTCTATAATTCATCAACTGGATAGTATATCACAGTTTTGATCAAATTTTGTGTTGTGTGGGGAATTTTTTTATTTTACTTTCATTTTTACTTTTCTGCTATGCATTGTATTTGGTAACACGCAGTACGATGTCACAGTGTGTCGGTGTCGATTCAATATCTCGTTCTCATTCTGGTGCACGAAATGCTTTTCTAGTATTCGAATATTCCCTCCCCACACACACTTTATCGGGGTGATAAAATCTCGTGTACAATTTATCCAACCGATTACACTTTTACTTCACACTAATCTATTGGAATAGTGAGCACACCTTGTTGCTTGACTTTTCGCCAATTTTAGGCTCATGTATGTGCCAACTCTGAATGTGAAAATTAAATATTGTTTGCCCATTTAGTCTGTTTTCTTAGTATACGTTATTGTATGATAAACATTGGGACTGAATCAATTTCCCACGGGGACCTACCCCATTCATCGGTGGGAACCGACCCCAGTGGAATGGGCCACGGGTTTCTTACCACCAAAGTTGGATCAATGTGGCTCGGTTCGAAACCCAGATTTTTGGGTCCGGTTAGTGTGTTGTTGTGCTGTTGGCAGCCGTTGCTACTGAACTCATTCGGATCTCAGTGTTAAATTGTTTCGTGAGTGGTCCAACGCCTAAATTATAGAGCACAATTAGAGAGGGTCGGTTCCAGGGAGCGCCAACTTCCGACCACCATCGTGCTAAAGTGATTCGTGTTGACTGACGCCTCGCTTAAATTAGGCTGGGCTTGCTGGTATGAGACTGAGAGAGCAGATACTGTGTTGCGCTTATACTATGGGATTTTTGATGTAATGCTGTCCAGCTGTGAATCAGATCGCCACATAAACCGGTTTTTTGATACCGAATCCAACAGCAACAACAACCTGAGACTTCGGGTTGCGAAACCTATCAGACTCCCATGAATTTGTGTTGGGTAACATCTACGTTGTCCACTGCTGCACCGTTGCTTTCGACGCGAAGGGAGATTCGAGCACATCCGTGGGTAATGGTAACCCAGGTATGCAGAGCGCTTCTGCAATATGGATAAGCAATTTCTGGTGGCTTGAGTTTGAAATGTGACTGTGGGTAACAGGGAAAACTCATTCAGGCCACAGTTGGTGAACGAGTTCCTTTGGAGACCAGTATCAAAGCTCTTTGTAACTTATGGCTAACAGCATTTCATTCAAACAAACCCTACATTACATTTTTGAATACTATATTTAACTAATGGGATGACACAGTACCTTCAGAAACTGGGGATCATCGAACACTGGTAATTATCTCATAATTGGATTACCTTAAATGGAAATGTAGTTGAGATTTTCTTTTCATTGCGTACCTTTTGTGCAAGTCATATTACTATTTTCATTTAATTGATCCTTTTTCGGTCATTGTAGTTATCATCCGTAGATATCCAGGGTAAGCAAGCTGACTGAAGTATCAGGTTTTAAACGGATAAATGATGACAGCCAGTTGGTTAGTACAAACGAAAACTTACTACTTACTGGAAACCCTTCTCTCTTTTGCTTCTCACACCTCGTCTGGTGTCTTATACCAGACTGAGTCGAGTGATTGCGCGCTCTGCTTTCTGTCGCATCTATTGATCAGGAAAATCAATATCCTGAACATTCAGCACTAGCAGCAGCTACATAACATAACTGAATATAGCACTGTAATTTGTTTGATCTTGCCATCGGGGCAATCAGGGGTGGTTGATATGTTCACGGTAATAGAAAAACTGAGAAAAATAAGACTCCGGTCTAGTTAATAGATGTTATACGTTCGTCATGCATATTGGTGCATTAGGATCAGGGTTCCCCATATCGAATACTCGTTTCTAGGGTAAATATGACAGCTCGAGGAGTTCACAGAGAGTGAGAGAGCTTGTGGATTGTGGAAGAATGAGTAATACTGTGGGTGGGTGCAGGAGAAACAGCGGTACAAATACAACCTTCCGATCCGTTTTCATGTGCGTCACATTGAATCGGGAGTAGTACCCCATTTTCGTTTTTAAATCCCTCTCTCACCCATGTTTTTTGCTGTATTCCCTCGGAGCAGTCTTTGATTGACGAGAGCCCTCTTTCTAAGAATCGTGTATACAACTAAGTATTCAATAAATAAAAATGAAGGAATGACATTATTACCACTGATAAATGTGTTCGACATCTGGCTACTCATCGCGGCTTGTAAAATATATACCGTTCTCTGGATCTTTCCTCCATCAGGTCATTTATGGCTGTGCCTGGTTCCAACAGCCCATCGATCACTCCATACCTGTTGTATTTGTTTCTTTCAGAGCACACCTAATTAAATTCGCCTCAAACCAATTCTGACCCATTCAGCCAGAATTCCTGGACCATCTTTGGTGGTGTCACCGCATGGCTTACCTCGTCCATTGGCGGTTGTACCATGTGATACCTATTATCTCGCTCTCCATTTAACGCACTGGCTCGTTGTTTAGGTCGACGCCCATCATGACACCCACAGACATGCGTGCAAACACAAATCTACCCCCTCCCCACACACGCACACACGCTCATGCCGGCTGGATTAGCGAGCCAGTCGTATGAGAAGCGGGAATGATGATCTTCACTCATCGGCTCGCGCACGCTCTCGCTCGCTCGCTTGTACGCATGCCTGTGCGCCCTCGTGCTTCGAGCGTGGACAGACTGGAATGTGTGAGTGCGCGTGCGTGTGTGTGTTTGTTGACGTGTGTCTTGCTCTCTATCTCTCTCAACCCTAAACACGGAGACTGCTGCATCGGGTCGATCGGCAATCGATATAATCGAGCAATTGACAAGGTCAGTGTTGTCATTGCCCCGGTCCGGTGGATTTCTCGCTCGCCATGTTGTTCGTGCTAATGTGGTTTTTGGTAGCAGTGGTGCTCGTGGTGATGGTGTAGTAGTGGTAACGATCATACACAGTCTGCACGTGTTACCTGGTCATGGTCTTTAGGTGCGGTTGTAGTGAATACTCCATTCGATCAGTCTAAAACTAACAACAATCATCGTGATCCTACTACAGCGAGGTCTGTCAGTCGGGTTGTTCTCCCACCATTCGTTTATTTAGAAATAGGTACCCGGAATCCTGAATCAAATTTGCCGTGCATTAAACAAAAAGAGCTGCAGTCACGAGACGACACACTGCAGTTTTAACAGTTGCGTGATTTCACTCGCAATGGTGGTGCTTGCGGAAAAAATTGGATCGGATAGCTTTACTGCGAAAATCCACCCCGACCAAAATGTCCCTCCTTATCGTGCACTTCTTTTATTCAAGGCCTAATTGCACGATCGACTTCATGAAGCAGAAAGTGGCCCGTCGGAGGACTTGAATAGAAAGAGCCGACAAACTTACGTGGCAGCAATGGAATTCGAACACACACACACATTGGACCTTCGGGGTGAAGTGATGACGGGTTAGACCGCTTGATCCTCACCACCACCTTATTATCATCATTTCTAGAAGAACCAACCGATATGGCTGATAAAAAGTTGACAAATATTTTCCGAAAAGGAGAATTGCAAATGCATTCTTTCAACTTACAACATATCATTACTACTGTTTTCGATTTTATTTGATACATCCATTATTAACCTCCCCCCCTCCGTACTTTTCTGTGTCATTCGGCTGATCTTTCGGCTATCCATTTTATTGAATAATGGATACGGGAATAAACCTGAACGTTAGCTAAGCGTCAAGATAAATACTGAAAGTGCGAGTAAAGTGGATGTGTATGCGGATAAATACACACACACACATGTGTGTCAGTGTGTATGACACTAGTCCAGGTTTTCACTTCTTCACGCCAGGTCGCAGCCTAGGCTTTCAGCCACCACTTGTCTCAGCAATATTATTTGCTGAGAAAAACTAAATCCGATAACGTGTAAAACATGCTCCGGCCACCACGACCTCGATCGATTTAGCAGCTCCGTTCCTGTGTGATTCATGGTGGTGGTGGTGGTGGGGGAGTAATCTCGTTAGGGTGAGCTCTAGATTTCGGTTAACCCTTTAGGCTAACAGTTTCAGCTTCATTGACAAGGATCCTATGTATATTCTAACAGAAAGCTTATGGCTTGCTTAATTCAATTCACTTCATCAGCTTTACGTTTACATACCATATTCAATGTTTGTTCTTCTGTTAGTTTGGACGAAATTTTGTCGTGCGTTCGGTCATCATGATGACACTACAACTTGATGGCTTGTGCACCTCTATGACCCAAAGCGCTATGAACGATGGCTTTTGTCGAGTCGAAGATTTAATCATGTCTGGAAGGTCGAAGGGTAGAGATCAGACAAAGTCCAGTCTCTTGGTTCTCCAGGTTGGGGGTTCGACTAGAACT